GTCAAAAGGCCCCCCCCCCCAGCGAGGGAGGGGGCAGCCTCCTCGCCGCGGCAGAGGAGCTACCCACGACCCAGGACGGACCCCGAACGCCTCCAAGGCCGGGAGTCAGCCTGGCCTCGGTCCCGGGACCACCGGGACCGTCACCACCGCTGGCGGTCAGTCAGCCCCCCCTCCGACGGGGGCCGAACCCCACCGCGCTGGAGCAGGAGGGAGCGGCTGAGCCAGGAACGGACCCTGCCCAGGGAGCTTTCCCCGGAGACCTCGTCCGGACGACCCAGGACCCGAACCACTAAATCAGGGTAGGTCCTGGGGATTGGGGCTGCGGCCCCAGGAGATGCGAGAAGGGAGGAAGGAGCCCGGGGCAGAGTGATCCCCGTCTACCGCGTCGGGGCGCGAGCAAGCCCCGATGGTTAGGGCCCCGGGCTGGGACCTGGAGAGAGGTTGGGACCGGGTCCCCCTTCCTCTCCTAGAGGGGCGTCCAGCTCCTAACAACCATAACTAAAGGGAAAACGCAAATTGGGACCCCGTGCCAGGGAGGACTTAGACGGGGGGGAGGGCTTTGGCCCCATCCCGTAGGGACGGGTGACTATCTCAGGGTTCACTGGCCCCCCTTCCAGCTGGGAGGGGGTAATCGCACCCAAGGGCCCGGGCCCCATAGCAGGGACCCGGGGTACAACAAGGGGCAGGCAGAGGACGAAAGGGTCTGCAGACCCCCCTTCTTGGGCTGAGAGGGGGTGATCGCACCCTGAACCTTTCACACCTGTCAAGAGCTATCTTAGCTAAGGTCAGTGGGTATTATTTTATTTTGGTCTGTGGAGATCTTATTCAAAAGAACACCCCCCAAAAAACCTCAACCAATAAAAGGAATGTTATGCCACCTGTCAGCATACAGGGCAATAGTCAATGGCAGAGGTTCTTGGGTATGACTTAGGAAAGTATTACAAGTAACCAAAATGCTCTCTTGCATTTGTATCCCCACTACTGACTGGCTCGAGGTGGAAAAAAATGAAGCATTAGGGCCCGGAGTGTGCTACTTCCAGTGCTTCAGGAATGCATATGGCCAAAACTGCCAGGCAGCAAGAACTGAGAGACATTACCAAAGAAAGGAAAGGAGAGGCACCATATGAAAAAAAAGAAGGTTGCATTACCCTCAGCTACCACTACACAGTGCAGTTGCAGTTGGGGCGGAGTGTGAAAATGACATGCAGCTTGCTGGAAGAAGGCCTGTTTCCCTTCCTAAATCCACAGCCCCCGGCACAGCTGATCAGAGCCCTCCTGGGGATACTCAGCCAGGAGTGGGGATTGAGGGACAGACGTGGCAGCTTATGCCAAAGGGCCAGAGAAACAGACTGGTGGAAGGGGTCACGAGGAAATGAGTGGGGTGCAGTAAATGAGAAGGTGGCATGGATTAGGAAGGATACATGGCTGGATGGGTCTTTGAAGTTGCATATAGGGGACCCAACTGAAGCTGTCTACTCATACAATATTCGTAAATTATTGTACCTGGCTGCGTTGCTAAAACTGTTGGCCACACTGTGTATTACTGCAGCTTTCAGATACTTTTTGGTCCAGAAAGACAATCAGCCTTGCTAGCTCATTTTAGCTCTTTTAATAAGTTTAGACTCACACACAGTACACACACAATAACATTATTGGGTGTGGGGCTCTCAGTCTCTATGCTATATTCATGTGTGACAATGTACAGACTCCTATCTTTTAGCTAGTCTCATATCCTGATACAGCTGCTGTGACCTGCTCTAAGAGAGCCGTGTGCATCCGTCATTACTCCCACCACTACCCAGTGTAGGATGCAGACATCCATAATTAGAAATAAATTAGTCCTCTTCTCCCACCTGTCTGCTCTTCCGTCACTGCTGCTGCAGCTTTCACTTCCCTTCCCTTCCCTTCCCTTCCCTTCCCTTCCCTTCATGGTTTATATTTTAGCTCAATCATTTCTATATTTTTTCTTCTCGAATCTGAATCCTAAGATCTCAAAATATTTACCCACCAACAAGGGGTCTGAATCTGAAACCAACTATTAGCCTAATCTCCAGTCCTTCAGGTCTGGTACTTGTGTGGGCATATAGGCTCAGCTCCCATAATATTAACAGGGTTTGCATTACTCCCTTTTGACAGCAGAATGCAGACTTTGATTTGCAAAAACAAGTATTAGGACTCCTCTGTTTCCCATTGATGATAATGGCAAAATAGCTAATTTTAGTGGCTGAAGGATCAGGTCCCTAGTGAACTGTTGAACTCTGAATAACTAGCACGTGTCAGTAATGTGATCTGGTGGGTGTGAAATCTTATTCTGGACAGTTGGAAAACACTTTAACAGTCCAATACCACCCCATAATCTCATCAAGGCCTGTTCACCGGGATTGCTCCAGGGGTCAGTTGGAAAACACTTAACATGAAAAAATAAAAAACAAACAAAAAAATCCCTTTGCTTCTGTACTCATTTCATATGCAATACATTAAACTTATCATTTTAACAAGGAGAACTATGCTCCAGATGAGACTGACTCCTGGAACTGCCAGTCCCTGCTCAACTGGAGTAAAGCCACATAAACTACCATGAACACTCAATTACCTGTTTTCCTCCGAGAAGCAGGTGACCGTAGGAGTCTGTGTGCATCTCTACCTGAGGTGAGGAAGGAAGTCACCAAGAGAACAGCTAATAGTAATGGGAGTTTTGTAACTTGGAGTGGAGTAACTTGCAGGCTATTTGACTTGTGCATGCCAGAAAGTTTTGCATTTTACTAAAGTTAAGTTTTTAAGACAGTGCTTGCATTTATCCTCTCCCCATGTAAATAAGATCAGTACAATAGAGAGATCTTCGGTATGGAATCTAACAACAGGCAGAGAATAGCAGGTCACAAGCCAACAAAGGGCATGAGCCCACAGGAGTGCTGTATATCACAAGCTGAGAGACTCTTTCCACAAGACAGTCTCTCTAAGAAAAGATGAAAGAGTTCTGATCCCATTCCTTTGCAGGAGAGCTAGAGGGCTTTGGAGGTTGGGTGAAGTGGAGAATTACCTTTTCTACTTCAAAGGAGCATTTTAGACTGGCCACAAAAAGGAAATATAATGGAATAAACTTAGCTTCTATTGAATACCAGAGTTCTGTTTCACTGAAATACCCCCCAAAATCCTTGAAGATGTACAGAGTCACACACTGTGCAAGACATCAGCTGGAGAAGTAGGAGTTTGTTTTGAGGAATTAAAAACCCACTTGATGAGATATTTTATTTGGAACCAAAGATTTCAAGGTCTGTGTCAATTTCAGGCTAGAAAGTTTGGTGTCTTAGAAGCAGCCCCTTCCATAACTACTGACATTGAAAAGGTTCAGAAAAGAGCAACAAAAATGATTAGGGGTTTGGAACGGGTCCCATATGAAGAGAGATTAAAAAGACTGCAACCTTTCA